CGTGCCGTAAGAACAGGAAAGATAAGATTCATTGCAACAGTTTCTCTTTTTCACGACACTGTTGCATCTCAAACATTTGTACTAATTACATTGTAATTCAGTGACGTAATTCAATTACGTTGTGTTTCAATTACACTAACGATGGAAATAATTAGTAATTGAATTAACTAAAAGATTTGAATTATATAATTGAATTACAATGTATAATAGTTGAATCACAATGTAATTGAAATACAATTTAATGAAATTGCAATATAAATGAAAAACAAATAACGAAGATACAATGCAATTCAAGTACGTAATTGAATTGCAATGAATTGAAATACAATGTAATTCAAGTTGATAATTGAATTACAATGTAATTCAGTGACGTAATTGGATTGCATTGTAATTCAGTGATGTAATTGGATTGCATTGTAATTCAATTATCAACTTGAGTACATTGTACTTCAATTCATTGCGATTCAATTACGTACTTGAATTGCATTGTATCTTCGTTATTTGTTTTTCATTTATATTGCAATTCCATTAAATTGTATTTCAATTACATTGTGATTCAACTACACATTGTAATTCAATTATATAATTCAAACCTTTTAGTTAATTCAATTACTAATTATTTTCATCGGTAGTGTAATTGAAACACAATGTAATTGTGTGTGTGTGTGTGTGTGTGTGTGTGTGTGTGTGTGTGTGTGTGTGTGAAATACAGTATAATTAAAATACAATGTAATTATATATATATAAGAATAAGANACATTGTAATTCAATTATATAATTCAAACCTTTTAGTTAATTCAATTACTAATTATTTTCATCGGTAGTGTAATTGAAACACAATGTATTTGTGTGTGTGTGTGTGTGTGTGTGTGTGTGTGTGTGTGTGTGTGAAATACGATATAATTAAAATACAATGTAATTGAAATACAATGTATTATATTTGAAATGAAAATTCTCTTCAATGCAAAATAAAAATTCTCTGCATTGTTTGCAAGATAGAAAACCTCGATTGACATTTCTTCTTTACTTTAATTACTTCGTTGCATTGAAACTAATGCAACGTAATTTAGAAATTCTTCCAACAGTTTCACCGTCTTGTATTCGATCTACTTATTTTCGTCATAAATGCATAAAATCCACCAAGAAAGAAAGAAAGAACGTTCTATTTAGCTTCTATTTTTTGCAATCGATGCAGACAAGTCTTATTTTGCATAAAAGTTCGTAGTCTACTGATTACAAAGTGATATTATGGAAACTGATTGCACGGACGCTGCTTTTCCGTCGATAAGAACACCGTAAATGAAAAGACCGAAATAAAAGCAGAGTGCCACGCTCGGTCGGTCCAAAACCATAAACGGGATTCTTTAGATTCAGAGTCCCGAAGTCAGCCAGCAAGTGGTTAATTCGAAGTTCCCGAAATTCCCCAGCGTAGAGGTCATAAAATCAGAGGCAACGCGAGGAAAATTTGGTTCGCGAGCGGTTCTCTTGACTCGCCTCACGGAATTCGTTTCTCGAACGGACCAAGGAGCGCCCGGGATCCGTGTGCAAGACGTGTTCTCGCGGCTCGGAGAATTCGGAATCGGAGCGCTGTAAATTGAAAGCGAAATCGACGGCGGACTGGAACGCGCTACTATTTGGTCTTCGAGCGGATTTGATAAAATCTGAGTCAGCGCGGAGCGCGGATAACGCCCCGGCGAAATTTCCCGCGACTCCTTTCGACACGAGTTTCTTCGTCTCGCTGATTTTTCTATTCGCCGCCGCAATATTCGTAATCGATGGACCACGAAATGCGGTGGAATGAATCTTTTTGAACATAGCCGCGATCTTTCCATCTCGACGCGGACCTGTGGAAAACGTTCTAAATATATGTATAACTCTGGATACAAACAGAATTCGGGTGATTGATCTGTACTCTTTGCGTTCTATCTGAAATATTCTACGTACAATGGTCAACCTTAGAAAGTTCTAAAGAATTTTTATTAAAATTTTTATATTAAATGTTTCGCGTAAAATGTTTTATATAAAATGTTCTACATAAAATGAACAACATACAGGGTGTGTCAAAAATATCTCGCGATCCGGAAACGGCGGGTTCCTCGGATCATTTGAACCAACTTTTTCCTTTACAAAAATTTTCTCCGAGGCACCGTTAACGAGTTATTAACGAAAAACAGTGACCAAGGAGAGGCGAGCTCGGCTGGCGTGAGTCGGCCGAGCCAACGGCGCCAGCGGTCGAGCGGTCGAATCCCAGCTCAGCTGGCGTGAGTCAGCCGAGCCAACGGCGCCAGCGGTCGAGCGGTCGAATCCCAGCTCAGCTGGCGTGAGTCGGCCGAGCCAACGGCGCCAGCGGTCGAGCGGTCGAATCCCAGCTCAGCTGGCGCGAGGCGACCGAGCCAATGAGCGGAACTGGGCTTCGTGGTCACTGTTTTTCGTTAATAAGTCGTTAACGGTGCCTCGAAGAAAATTTTTATAAAGGAAAAAGTTGCTTCAAATGATCTGAGGAACCCACCACTTTCGGATTGCGAGACATTTTTGGGACACCCTGTATAATGTGATAATTAGGATGCAGATCTTATGCATCTGTAAAACGATTTGTTGAACAAATTACGTCCTATCTCAGACGAGAGTTAAGAAACAGTTGTCATTGCTCATGACAACGAGCCGAGGGAATTGCGGCGAACAGCAGTCACAAGTATCGGCAGCCAGGTCAATTGAGTATTCTCCGAAAATCGCGGCCAAAAATTTAGCTCCGCAACGAGCATCATCGCAGTCCAGCAAAATCACGACACGATCCGTGGCCCCCAATTAAATTTCTTGCGGAATCATCGGCTATGCCGGTCCACAACGAATTGAATTAATCGACGTCGGTTTTTCCGGCGCGAAAACGATATTTCACGATGCCGAACGCACGCTGAGCTTAAATCGTCCAAAATCCGCGGGCTAAAATCGAATGTTCAAATTCGATCGAAATCAATGTAATTTGGCGCACGCGTTCCCAGCTATACGTACTAAATTATGTTTATGAAATCAATTTTCAGCCGTCCGATTACATCCGAGTGTTTTCGTAGAAATTTCGTTAATCCGCGAACGACAGCGTTGCGGGAACGATGATGGACAGTTTCGAGCGAAACGTTTCATTAGTCGGTTAAGGCGAATGGTTAAGAGTCGGTTTTCTTGAGGCCGGCCGCCGAGAATCTACCCTCTGGTTATCTCCACCCCAGCAATTCACTCCGCCCGGTGCGGCCCGACAGGTACAAGCATCTCGATGCTCGAAGATTGTAACAACTACCGCCGCCGCGAGGAACCGAAAGAATTCTATTTCTTTGGCAGAACTGTGCCGGAGTGGAAATGACAGCCGCCGCGACTATTTTCATGCAAAATGCATGAAATGCATCCTCCCTTCTCCCGGCCCGCCGATGCCACGATTCCGTGCTATTTCGTCTTGCTCGGTCGGCGGCGTTCATTTCGTTTGCCGATTCTGTTCTCAACGTTTGCTTCGTTTACGGAAAAATTGCTCGGAAGTGAGACTTTTCACACGATTTTTAACCTTCGTCCCCAACGAACTGGAGGTTTTATTTGAGGCGCTTCTTACCAGACAAACATCTCCGTCGTGACGACCAGTTGGTATTCCACAAACACTTGCTTTTGCATATCTAGATCTTCGTTGTTGTGTCATAAAATGCAAACGTGGAATTTTTATGACGCGTGTTTATGGCGTCTTCGTAACTAAAACAGCTTTCGGATCGAAGAAAATATTGGACGGATTTGTGTGTAATTTTAGAATATCGATTAGCAAATTTGAAGATAATGACAAAAAATGACAAAAAGATGTAATCACGTTTTTCTTGTGAAGGATCATAAAAAATTAGTGCAGAAATTAGGGAAGATGCAGTCAGATATATAATAATAATCAAGAAACTCGGACAAGACACAAGCAAAATAATAATGAAACAGAGCATTAAGGGAATAGAATAATAAAGAAACAGAATAATATAAAAGCAGAACAATAAAGAGATAGAATATTATAGAATATTTTAAGAAACAGAATAATAGAGAAGCAGATTAATGAAGAACCAGAGCATTGAAGAAACAAAATGACAAAAAATGCAGAATAATGAAGGGTCAGAACTTCTTATTCAAGAATAGAATAATTAAGAAAGAAGTTCTGACCCTTCATTATTCTGCATTTTTTGTCATTTTGTTTCTTCAATGCTCTGGTTCTTCATTAATCTGCTTCTCTATTATTCTGTTTCTTAAAATATTCTATAATATTCTATCTCTTTATTGTTCTGCTTTTATATTATTCTGTTTCTTTAATGTGCCGTTTCTTATTCTTATTCTTATTCAAGAATAGAATAATTAAGAAACAAGGAATTGATGAAACAGAATAACAGAACGACAGGAAAACAGAATGAAAATGGAAGAGAATAATAAAAACGCAAAACAATCGAGCAACAGAATAGTAAAGGAAAACAGAACAATATAAAAGCAGAATAATGAAGAGACAGAACATTAAAGAAACAGAAGAATAAAGAGACAGGGCATTGAAGAAACAGAATTATAAAGAGACAGAACATTGAAGAAACAGAATGATAAAAAGGTAGAATAATAAAGGGACAGAACGATCGAGTAACAGAACCGTAAAGAAACAGGACATTGGAGAAACAGAACTAACGAAAACAGAAACGACAAACAAAGGTAACGATGGAACAAAGTAACGAGAAATTAGATCGATTAGAGAAACTGGATGATAAAAGCGATACTCGATCCCGTGTTACCGGCGCAGTGACGTTTAAAAAACAGCTGGCAGAAGGTCCGTCGAAACGGGATGACGGTTTTTAACCGGATACCGTCGCTCTCGCGAATAAAAAACACGCTCTCGCCTGGTAAACGTATAACGTCGGACTTAAACCGACTAAAATAAATATAATCCTTGTGTCCGTATTTCGCAACGGCGGACACGAATCGATCTCGAAATAAACACAGCGATAGGTACTCACATTTGATGTCGAGATTCAGGGGATTGCTCTCTCCGTCGCCTTCCTGATTGCTGCCAATGCAAGTGTAGATACCGGCTCGGCTGCGATTCACGCTTTGCAACACCAGGCTTTGGTTGCTGATTATCGTGCCGGTCGCTGGATTATGATATAATGGATTTCCCTGTGAAGGTAACGTCAAAAAAAAAGATATATATATATATATATACATGTACATAGATCGGACTGTTCGCAAAACAAACAACCCAGGAGTCGGAGCTGGATACGAACGGTTCTCGTTTTGTCATAAACGGACTGCGGATTTCATGCGTTTATCAGAGAAACGAATAAACGAAACGCATGGCAGATGAAACGTCAGAAACATTTAACGTTACCGACATGCTATTCGCGACTTACTAAAATTAGTAACGGATGAAATAATTTTCTGCTTAATTCCAACTTCTTGCCATTGGTGTAGGGAATTTTTATTTTGCACGAAGATCCGCAGTCTAGAGATACAGTATTATTAGCACACTGCGGATCTTTATGCGAATTCTCATTTTCATACGTCATTTTACAATAACTGAATGAAAGCAATGTTGTCTTCGTTCACTAATAAATTACTCATTGCAAGAATAAAATAAAAATGCTAAAATAAATGCATAAATATCCGCTGTCTAATTATTAATTATAATGTAGCGTATGTTGGATCACGAAGGTAATTCGTTGCTGTTGACTTGTTGTTCGTTGTAAATAACTGTGCTCGTCATGAGGAAATGGTAAAACATTTTGTGTTTCGACGAGCGTACTCGTCAAAGACAGCAAACTGGTTGAGTCAAGTAAACACGTGAATGTTAGGAATAAAATTAAAAGTAAACATTTCATAACAACCTCAATTCAATAATGTAACAGACACACATATACTTTCCCAAAAAGATTGCAACGACTAACTGGTTGAAGTATCCTTTAATTATTATTTATACATTTCGTACCTTACCAACAAATTTTCGTCACAATCTCTACAATTGATTGACAAATTAAGAAGTCACAAAGCAACCTCGTAGAGGGTTGTTTCCACCCCGAAGAATGAGAACCAAATCGATTAATCTAATTCCATTCCAGCACAGATTCTCTTAAAGAAACAACCGCAAATTCTTCGACGCGGTGAATGTGCACAGTCACTTTCATTTACAATTGCAAGATCTCCTGGAGACAGACAGGGTAGCGGGGGTGCGCGCCGGTGTTGCAAATGGCAGCGGATATTGCAGATTTAACGCGCGACATCGGAGAGGACAGTCAGGCGCGCATTTTTCTCCGCAATAACATAACGGGTAGGGAAAAAATTCGCGGCAAAAGGGCGCCGGGGGGAGGGGCGGGCTGCAGAAAAAAAGCGCGGCGAGGGGGAAGGGGGATGAAAGGTTCCCGACAGTTTTTCAATTTCTCAACGCGCCGCGACAATGTCCACCGTTTTCTTCTTTTTCGAGTGTTGGAAAGCTCCTTTGAATTTCCTCGAAACACACTGGTCCGGGGCGAGGAGGGGAGGGGGGAGGGTCCCGGAAATTCTCAGTCCTTCACCACCCTCTTCTCGCCGTCCGACCCACCGAATCAAACGAAGAATCGACAAAGACTCGCGTATCGGACGTTTCCGCAACTACAATGACGTTATGATCCGAGACGGGCAAAGAAATATTTATGAAACTCGAGTAATATACCGGCACAAAGATCGGCGTCTGCATTCGTATTAAATAAATCCCCTTCCGCCTTATGGTGTGGAGATCGTAATGGTTATGCGTGAATGTATTTTTCATTGAAGTTCTCGTCGGGTGAAAGATGCTGAACAACTTTGGAGTCGTTCGTCCGAGCTTCGTCCGAGACTCTGTCGTGCAATAAGGAACAGCTTTTGATCCGAATCGTCGGGACCGAACAGTTCTTGCTTTATTAATGGGATAAGTGTTTTTTGAGAGCTTTATTAAGCCTTCGTTGGTGACATGAATTTTACGAAGACCGTGAATAGACTGCTGATCCTTGTGTAAGATACAAATTGTCTACACGAATTGTAACAAACTGAAGCGAAATAGTTGTTTCATTTCTTTCTTAATATGTCCAATGAATTGCAATTAAAGTAACAGCATTCTTAACGTAATCTTTCGTAATCTTCCCACTGGTTTGTGTTCCACCTACACATTTTTCTCATAGCTCCATAAAATCCGCAAGCTGACTCTAAACAAAAGGGGTCGCGTCAACGACCCTGGTAAAAATAAACCCCGGAAATGCACGGTGGGAATGTACATCAAAATAACTAGACATTTGTGATTTATAATTACAGTAATTTCTCCCTAATTCGCGCACAGATTGCGCACAAATCTGGGAAATTTAGGAAGAGGAGATACGATATTATTCGAGCCGACTCATTTTTATAGTTATCGATTGTCAACAATTATAAAAACGAGACGCAAGACTCGAATAATCGTATCTCCTCTTCCTAAATTGTCCATTCTTGTGCGCGATCTGAACGCGAATTAGGGAGAAATTACTGTATAAGTGTTAGTACTAAAGATGGAACGCATTTATACTAAAAATAGATCAATTAAATGCGCAAGAATGAAGCCATCAGCGAACTTTACGAATATTACGTTAGGTTCTTTAAAATTCATTAGAATTAGTAAAAGAAGAAATAACATTGTTATTTATAGTTCCTGTTTCTCAAAATTCGTACAGAAAATTTTTATTTCGCACAATCATCCGCAGTCTACTAATAACCTATCACGTTGTTCGTAATCAATAATTGATCGTCGATGTACTCAATAGGAAAAAAAGGACAGCTTTCGTTTACGAATGAATTACGGATATTCCTGCGGTTTTTTTGAGAACGCATTTGAGATAGCAATGCGAAATAATAACTCTATTAATTCTGCTTGAAACGTGTGTCTGTGAACTGTGAAATTCTGCATCTGCCTGTGAACGCTGCAAATGCTGCACGAATGTTGCAGCGTAATTATATTCGGTTCGCGGACACTGTGCGGTTGCGTGCGACATGCATTTGTAAAATGGAACGAAATGAAAACTGCGTCGAACTCCGGCTTCAACTTCGCCGGAGAATTGATCGGGAAAACAAATGTCTATTTTTAGGACTACTACTTTACAGTACGCGGCGAAAAAGGAAATTATTCGTACAACAAAACTTTCATGGATGTGACAAACTAATTAGTGTACTCAATGTCATCATAAAACGTTGAAGTACCCTGATGTAAATGACTAAAAGAAAAATTCGTTAATTGCTATCTTGTTTTGTTCCAATAGTTTAAGTTCAAATATATACGTTTATTCATAACAGATATATTGAATAAATAAATAAATAAAAATGTCTCTTCACAATCGGAATAATCGTTAATGAAAGAATTAGTGATCCGTCCGATTTACGGGTTCCGTAAATCTAGTAGTAAAATAGCTTCTCTCGAGTGTGCAAAGGATTCATTTCTGTCGCGTTTTGCTCGAATTGCGTGGATTGAGCAAGCAGGTGTTCGATTATTGGATCGCGGACCTTTACGCAAAATCTCATTTTCACACATTTTACAAGAACTAACGTTCAGAAGAAGTTTTCTTCGTCAACTCAAAGATTATGAATTGTAAAAGAGAAATAAATAATAATGTTATCAGATCTTGTTAATTTACAAATTTTCTTGCATTTGAGATCGCACCAATATTTACCACGGAACCGACCTGTATCGCTTTATTAGCATCAAACGGATTAATAATGTACGATCCGGCTCCCACCGACGCAACTAATCATTAAATAAATCCAGCAGCGAGATTGTCAGCTGGCAAACGAGCCGATGGCTGGATCTTCTCATTAACCGCGGATACACATTTTCCCCGGGCTCTAATCGCGCTTTGCCAGCTTCCCTGTAATCGTATTAACACCGCTTCGTCTCCGTCTTAAGGCTGACAGAGGACGACGATGCCACGAAGCCTGCTTGACAATCAATCGGTCGTCGAATTTCCTTTCTGTAATTGCGTACGTCGCACAGTGTGACGGATAAGAAAATTTATTTCCAAAATGTCATATTTGCTCCCGTCGAATAGGTGTAACTAACGTTCTTCCGACATAAGAACGACGGAACTTAGTCACACAAATAATTGAAAAGAAATGGCAAAGGGATATGACGATTTTTCATAGTTACGCTTATTAACAGTTTTTTTAAAAAATATAAATAAATTTGATAAGAGATCGAAATTATTTTGCAACACGATATGACAATTTGTAACAGTTTTTTTCAACATAAATGAATTTGACGACGTTAAAATTATTCTGCAACGTGATATGATAATTTCTGTAATATTAAAATTAAATATAAACGAATTTGATAATATTCAAATTAATTTGAAACGTTATATGACAATTTTTCACAGCCACATTTTTAACGGTTCTTTAAATATAAACGAATTTAATAATATTCAAACTACTTTGAAACGTGACACGACAATTCTGAGCGGTGCCTCAGAGTCGCCATTCGACTGTAAATTTTCAACTGGATCGATATTATTTTTAGCTATTCAATTAGCGTTGAAAACAACGGCACAGAATGAACGATTTCGAGCAGTTATTCCCTATTTCGATTCCAAACGTCGCGAATCGCAAAGGGCTGGATCGCCGATATGTTGGCCCTCGGGAAGGCGCGGCGATCCTTATCCGTATCGTGGAAGTTTAAACGTCGGCCGTGGTCCGGTGCTTAGGGTTACGTCAACAGTTTCGAAATTCACCGATAAATTTCTTATTGACGGTAACCGGCAGCTATTAGTTCAAAGAACGCTTACGCGCCGGTTCCCGGTCGGCCGGTATCAGCATGTAAATTTTAAACGGAAAGTTCGCGTCACAGGTGCACAAGCCCGTCTCCCCTTATCTCGTCTCCCGATTAAGCTTCAGCCCGACCCGACCCGACCCGAACCCGAACCCGAACCCGGACCGGCTCTAATTTATCGATTCCCGAACTGCGTCACAGATTCGTTAGCCCGGCTCGTGGCGAACGCTCTCCGTTCTACGCGTCCTCTCTCCTCTATACCACCCCCATATCCACTCGCAAACCCGTTCATAGAGGTGAAACGACGCAAGTCACGTTTTCAAAAAGTTTGCCGTTGTATCGATAGTCGGAACATCCATCGAGCCTGCCTGTGTCTCCATGAAACCACTTCGCAATTTAAACACGTTAATTGTCGAAAATCCACCCCTAGAGGATTAAAATATATCACGGTGTGGATGGTGCTTTAACTTCTTTGCATTGTAAAGAATCTAGAAAAATTCCGTTGATTTCGAATAAACTACAATAAAACTGTATATTGAAGAGTGATCAAAAATTGGTATTATAGGATAGTGCAGTCGATTATATTGTGGTGCGACCAATTACCTTTAGTTAAATTGTCTTTAGTATAAATAGACTTTGTATTTATCGAATAAGACATATTACAATTTTTTGTCCAAGAACAAACGAAACGAAAGAGGAAACAAATTTAATACGTCTTATTCGATGAATATAAAGCATGTCAATTTTTTCCCTAAAATAATTTTGTTTAACCAAACGCAGCGCATGTGATTTTCATTATTTTTGTTTAGTAAGGATAGCACTTTTATATTATGTCGCGTTATAGGTCAGAACACCCTCTTAACTCTTTGAGGTTAGGTGGGTTAAAAACGATCCCAGCTTTTGCTTTAGCTTTTCACGCATGGTGGGATATATTTGAATTCACCTGGAAAAGTTGAAGTTACTCGTGTGGTTATACAGTTTAATATTTTAATTAGTTGGCAATGCTACGAACGTGCCAGAACGTATTAATAAGTTATTGACACTGTTGTGGAAGGGTGACTTTTCAAAATTTTCTTTGAAATCATCTGCCTCAAAGAGTTATCACTAAACCTACCGTGCCCCAAAAGTAACTAACGGATGTTATTTTATATCGATGAGAAGGCTGTATTTATTTAAAACTTTCGCAATTTTTATTATAATGCATGCTTGAATAAAGAAATCGGTTCAATCGTTCCTTAGGAAATAATCTTCACAATTTCAACAATTTGAAACCGAAACACGCGAGACCAGTCTTTTGACCAGCGGTGGTAGGTAGGTAGGTGGTAGGTTTAGGCGTTAAGGGGTTACGGAGATGATAATTAGATGGTCCGTTTTATTAGGTCGAGTCGTAAATAACTTCCGATGCAGATAGGTAGCATCTATTGTTCGTAACTACCCACTTTGAGTCACCGGGACAGACGAGATTTTGCTTTCGCCAAACAAATAAGGGTTCGAAATAAAGAAAATAAAAAAAGCAAAAATAAATGAAAGAAAAAAGAAAAGAAAAGAAATGTCTGATAAGAAAACGGAAGTTATTTACGACACGATCTAGTAGATGTAACACCTTATATACACACGAGATAGGAATATCAACTCACATTGTGCCGCCAGGAGACTTTGTAGACCCACGGATTGGACCTGATGTTGCACTCGAAGTAGACGTCGATACCCTCGCGGATCGCGCTCAGGTTCAAATTGCTGCCGAGCTCCAGCGTAACCACCGGCTCATCTGAAAGTTCAACGGTTTAGGTTCACGGTAAACGGGGAAGAATCGGTCACGATGTTTTACTGGCGTTAGCCGGTGAGGCGAATTCAAGGGACGACGACGACGACGACAACGACGATGTCGACAACGGTGCAGGCGACGACGTTCCGCGTTTTCGACGTGGCGCGCCAACGAGCCGCAAGAAAGCGGAGAGTTATCGCGCGTAGGATGCCGGGCAACCGGTCATATGGAAATGATTTGTGCGCAGGGTGGAATTTTCGGCGGCCGTTAGGGGATGCGTGTTTAGAAGCGATTTTCTGCATTTCGGAGCCTGTCCCAGGGAATTTGGGACCGCCGCCGTGCCCGAACTTCTAGCCTAAGTGACCTTTCGTCCTCCCATTGTGTACCTAACTATAATTTATGATCTACGATTAGATTGCTTTCGCGATACCCGAGGCGAAGTATTATTTATTGAGGTATTATATCGTCTTGGCAGATGTAGAAGAGAGATTTTTCACTAGTCTTCGAAATTCATTTTTATCGTAATATTATAATCATTATTAATATTCAGTCAAAGTTGGACAATATTAATATTTAATATTAATATGTATTAATATTAAATATTAATATTGTCCGACTATGTCTAGACTATAATTTTTTCAAGCAGTTTACAATAAAATATATTGCAATTATTAATTACAATATTAGTATCAATATAATAATAATTATATAATAATAATAATCATAATTATAAAATATAACAATAATAATAATATTAATTATTAATTATAATAACTAATAATTGTAATATATTTTATTGTAGACTGCTCGAAAAAATTATAGTGTATAGACAAATTTTGGATTAAAATTGGCCAATTTTGACCAACGATAACTCCGCGAAAAATTATCGTAGGACGATGACCTAGAGTAGTACTAGTACTAGTACTAGTACTAGTACTAGTACTGTAGAGTATAAATAAGTAATAAATACTAACACAAACAGTATAATATACTATATATGTTAATATTTATATATAATATTTATATGTAAATATTTATATATAATATTTATGTGTAAATATTTATATATAATATTTATGTGTAAATATTTATATATAAATAATGTATCAATTACAGCAATGTCAAAAATGAAAGAACAGCACAAGTAAAAGCCTTCTCTTATTCGTAGGCTTATTTTTGTAATATCCCGAAACCGAAACATCTGTTATCTAAAAATTTCATTCAAGATCTCGACAAAATGATAATGTATCTAAATAATACAATTATTAGATAATAGAACGTTCGGATAGCAGAATATTGTAAACGTAAATGTTCGAATATCAATGAAATATCAATGAAATATTGAATAGAAATATTAAAGTGTTAAAAAAAATATGAACAATAAATCCAGCTCGATAATCTCCCAAAAGACGGATCGAAATCTGTCGAACCTATGAACTCGAAAACATCCCCACCTGGACCCGCAACTCGAAACATCCCCAATGAACGGAAAGACCGTAAATATCGTACAGCGGATGTAAATAATTCCGGATAATCGGCGATCCAGCGTTTGTTTCGCGAACGTAGCAATAAGGGCTCGGGATTGCAGCACGGTGAATCCCGGCGATTATATGTTTATAGAATAAACATCGTTTATGTAGCAAACAGCCGTGTTCGTATCCAGCGTTTTCAGCACAAACAAATTAAATTCCCACTAGCAGCCGATAGAATACTGCCCTGCCGGGGCCGGGCAACAACAAAATCAATTTTCCCCGGTTAATCCTCCTTGGTCGGTGGCCTCGGGCAGTCTGCCGGGGATCAGAAAGCTAAACCAAACCGGACCAACGTTTCCTGCTTAATCACACGGCCGCATCCCGGTCGAACACGCTGCCTCCAAGAATCGAATGCCACGGACCCGATGGGACATGAATAATTTTGTTATGAACTTCACGTACTCGCTGCTCTTCCGGGAACTTTGACGAGACTCGCTCCGTCGTACCGGGATCGTCTATATCGTAGATACAACTTATATAATCTTCCTTATAATTGACGGAAAATGTTTCTTCTACAGGGTGTTTCAAGATTAAAACGACATACTTTAGATATGAATTTAACACGAGAACTACCAAATCAGTTAAAACGACTGGTTTCTAGTTCTATGATTTACAATCCCTGATATTATAAAAATGTTTCTAGCAGGACCGTTTGGATAAACCTGTTTATCCAAGCATGAATTACCATAGAACTCGCATGGCACGTTTATATAAACCTAATCTCGTCATTGTTATCAAAAAATATACATTAGTTTCGTTAAGAAACAAATAAATTTTTTCTCTGGAAAACACGGTCTTAAATTCATACCTAAAGATTGTTTTGTTTAACCCTAAACAAAAACCCTGTACTATGCCGAAGCGTACAACGCGTTCACTGCTCAACATCGTTCGTCTACCACATTCTTTATTCGCCCAGAGTTGAAAATTAATCGTTCGAGAGCTAGAGTTTCACTTTGATGTATTGATTTTTGGTTTCTTGGAATCTTCCTGAACGGAAGGTTTCGATAGTTATTTCGATCCTTGGCTAATTCAAGTAATAACGATGAAACTATAGAAGGACCACGATTAAACCTCGACTTATCATTTTATATTATTGTATTAACATAATTTAGTCGAAAATAAAAAGAAGTTAACTATCAATTTTGAATTCGGATAATCGAAGTTCTACTGTATAAAAATCTTCGCGAGTTCTAGGGTGGTAGAAACCATGGCCATCGTCAGAGACGAAAACCGGAAGTCGCTACCAAAGCGCGAACAAGAGGAAACGCGTGGTAAGACGTGAGAAGAAGAACGGAGAATTAATATTGCTACGTTGAACACGATTCGGAGCTGCGAACCGGTATTTCAAAGGCGGAGGGAAAATATCCGGGCGGCCGATAGACCATTTTTCTTATGTCCACGCGCGGGATGTAGCCATAAATTCCGTGACACCGAGCTCATACAGACGCGGTATAACGAACTCGGTGTTATGCAGACCAGCCATTCCCGCCACGCTCGCTGGAGATTAACGCCGTGATTTCACTGTCCAATATAAAAGTTTTTCTCGGCTGGCAGCCGGCGAAAGGGTCGACAGGAAGGGAACGAAGGAAAGCCACGCGGCGAGCGATCGACAAAGAGAGAAACAGGAGGCAGAGCGCCGGAGATCAGCTCGGCTTCGCCAAAATTAATGGTACATGCCGATCCGCGGCTAAAGATTCTCCCGTTTCCTCCATTTTCTTCTTTTCGCTCGTCCCATCTGCCCTTTTACCCTGCCTCCCTCTCTCTCTCTCTCTCCTCCTCTTTCCGCAACTCCGTTGACCCCTCTGTCGACGTTCCACTCTCTCGATTCTGTCGATTTACATTCTTCTTTCGATCACGCTTTGATCACTGCTTGCCGCGTCCTTCTGTCTCTTCAGATCCCTTTTTACTACGCACTTTCTGCTTTAATC